AGGCAGCAAATTCGTTTTAAGGGAACTTCGTGAAGTCGGTGGGCTCGAGTTCATTTTTTGATTCTGTTGATCATACTGTTACGCTGTGCAAATTTATTAAGGTAATTCTGTCAAATTGTTTAAAATGAGATACTCTAAAAATAACAAATGTAATTAATATAATTGAAAATATAATTTTTTCTTTTATTTTTCCTAATGTACTCCGACATTAAATAATATCAATTTTAAAAAGGAATAGTGTATATTTATTGATAACATGACAAATTAAATAGGGACATATTAAAAAAAACTAAAAAATAATTATATTTTTAATAAGTAAAATGACATATAATTTGGAACAAAAAAATAAATAAAAAAAATGAAGCAAGCCTATCTTTATGAGACGATTACATTTTCATGTCTATCTCAAACCAAATTTATACAGTGTTTTAAAGATAATACTTCCACATTGTATATTTATGTTTTGAGCAATCCAAAGTTGACTGCTTCCATATTTAATTTAGAGCTTGTTTTAAAGGAATTAAAATTTAATTAAAATTGAAAATATAGTCTTTATTGGATCTCACTCGTCTAATAAAAGTCAACAATAACGATTAATTTTTCAATTTTAATCCGATTTTAATATGTACCAAACATATTCTTAATTTAAGGATGGTGAAGAAAAATGTTGAAAATATTAAAATTTCAAAATAATTGAAATGGTCGTAACTTTCAAATTCGGAAACCATTTTCTGGCAAAATCAACAATTTTCTCTGGTATTGGGTCGTGGCGTGTACCCTGCAGCCTCATCACATCCTTTTGACGGGTCAAATTTTCAACTTTATCTTTAATAAAAGCCATAAACCTACACTAGATCTAAAATTCATCCTTCAGTTTCACCCACCACCATTTTCTGTATTTCGTACTCAGGCGCGTGTGTGTTAATCGTCTTCATGGGCCAAGCACCGTCCACTGGCCATGGTTATTCTCCTGGCAATTCAGCGCATCTGCGTAATCCAAGCCTTTCCCTTCACCACCATCGGTCCACCGTCAATGATTTGAATCTAAACTCACAGTTTCCGGAGGATATTTTTGTAAATCAACAAGAAGATTATATTTCTGAGTTACCTGATGAATGCTTAGCTTTAATCTTTCAATCTTTAAGCTCCCGCGACAGGAATCAATGTTCTTTGGTCTGTCATCGGTGGTTCATCGTGGAGGGTCAGAGCCGCCACCGCCTGGCTCTTAACGCCACCGAGGAGGTCAACGTGCACCTTCCCGGTATCTTCACGCGGTTCGATTCTATAACAAAGCTAGCGCTCCGCTGTGACCGCAAATCCGTTAGTGTAAATGACGAAGCTTTGACGTTGATCTCCATGCGGTGCCAAAATCTCACCCGCCTCAAGCTCCGTGCCTGTCGCGAGATCTCAGAGCAAGGAATGTATGCTTTGGGTCAGAATTGCAAATCTCTCCGCAAATTCTCCTGTGGATCATGTATGTTTGGTGCTAAAGGCATGAATGCTCTTTTAAACAATTGCTCATCCTTGGAAGAACTTTCCGTTAAGCGTTTACGGGCCGCCAAAAATGACTCTGGAGCTGAGCCGATTGGCCCTGGGGCCGCGGCTTCCTCGCTCAAGTCAATTACCCTTAAGGAGATTTATAGCGGACAATGTTTTGGGCCCTTGATTATTGGCTCCAAAAACTTGAAATCTTTGAAGATTCTCAGGTGTTCGGGGGACTGGGATAGGTTGTTGGAGACTATTGCAGGGAGAAAAAATTGTTTAACAGAGATTCATTTGGAGAGGCTGCAGGTGAGTGATATTGGGCTAATGGCAATATCGAAGAGCCCAGACTTGGAGATCTTTCACTTGGTGAAAGCTCCGGATTGCTCAAATGAGGGGATTTGTGCAGTAGCTGAGAATTGCAAGCTTTTGAGGAAGCTCCATATTGATGGGTGGAGGACGAATAGGATAGGCGACGAGGGTTTGATTGCTATAGCAAAGAATAGTGTGAATCTCGTGGAATTGGTTCTTATTGGGGTAAACCCGAGTTCTGTGAGTTTGATGGCAATAGCCACAAATTGTCAGAAGTTGGAGAGGTTGGCACTTTGTGCGAGTGAAACAATTGGGGATCATGAGATTTCATGTATTGCGGCAAAATGTATGGCATTGAAGAAGCTTTGTATAAAGGGGTGTCGTGTGACAGATTCAGGGATTGAGGCATTCGCTTTTGGGTGCCCCAATTTGGTGAAGATAAAGGTAAAGAAGTGCAGGGGAGTAACTAGTGAAGTTGCGGATTGGTTGAGGGCAAGGAGGATGTCATTGGCTGTGAATTTGGACGCAGATGAGATTGAACCAGAGGCCATGGAAGTGAGTGTCAGCGATGAAGGAGCACAGGATGATAGAGTGGAATTCCCCCCAATCGTGAGTGGAAATATAATTGGTGGAGGTGGAAATGTTTCTGCAGCTAATGCTGCTGCTCCATCAACTAGTAATGGAACTCGATCCTCAAATAAGTCAAGATTTAGCCTCTTTGCTGGAAGGACTTTTGTAGCATGTGCTTTTCGGAGGATATCAAATGGTAATGGTAGTTCAAATGATAGCTTATAGATGAACTCAATGAGAGTTAGAAAGGATAAACCATTGTCAAGTTTTCATTCTTGTTTGTATCGAACCATAGCATTGTTGCAATTTCTGTTTGTGCTTCCATTGTTGTATCTCGGGCTTCTTTGCTGTGCTGTCATTTGTTACCTGTAACCTGCCACTCAACTTTTGTTTGAATGGTCCTTTTTCCATGACATATACACGAAGATTGCGTCCTTTGCCTTTTGAATAGCTTGATTGTATTGCATGCCCTATGCAAGTTATGTGAATTTTTCTGTACAGGAAGAATAGTTTAGATATTGAACGCTAAAATTATAGGATTGCTAGAAATTACATGCATCAGTTGATTTAAAATAAAACACGGTAGTGTATAAATTTTGGCACCATTATAGAAACTGTGTACCAACTTGATTTTTTCTTGTTTTTCATCAAGCAAAATGCTTGTTACTTCTCACATAAAAGGTAATACGAATGAAAACCAAGTTTTTTGTTCAGCATTGTTGAATGTTGCATATGATCAACTGCATTTTATGGCAAATGACCTACTGAATTTCTGCCATTTTCTTGCTATATATTTTATTATATTTGTCACATAATAATGCAAGCATGATTTCGTGAAATTTCTCATATGATATCAAAGCATACCTGCAGGAATTGTCCGGGAAGATCTGGCCATGCATGTTTGCGTGTATGTATAATGGTTTTAGTCTCCCTTCTTTTTGCTGGCTAGCAATTGAGAAAGTCACATACTAATTTCCTAAGCTACATGTGACTTTTGGACTCTGATTTAGGCACACTGATAGACTTTGAACTGGTCTTTTAATAATATACTTCCAACCAAATAAGGTTTGTGAAAGGAATCTTTGGTTCAGTTAATACACCATCATAGTAAATTGTCATTTGTTTCTGAAGTTGCCGGTTGTGTAGACATGCACCCAAAACTATTATAAGCAACTAGATTATCAACTAAAGTAACAGATCATGATACTTTTGGTCCATCAGTTCCTCCTAACTTGCCTTGCCTAAATTGTTTTAGACCTGATAAGCTTTAACCTATAAATGACGGGAAATTTCTAAGAATCTAAGTTTGTCGGCATGGTTTTGGAGGGATAGAGAGTATGTAAAGACGACATGTAGTTCTTGAATTAATGTTTTGACTTTCTGGAGAGAAATATCCTAGTTTTTCATAAACTTCTTGATACCCATCCTTCCATGTATTCCAAAATGTAGCAATAAAATATGAACTACCAATCTTATAGGCTATGGCAGTTTTGAATAGCATTAATATTGCAAAAATTGGCAAAGAAAGTATTCTTATTGTTCCAAAATCCAATTCCAAGATGTGGAATCCTCGTGCATATCACTTTGAACGATTCTGTCACCCAATGTAGATACGGTTTAAAGATTCAGCGCATGCATAGGACACGTTGGAATATTTATCCATTGTTCTCTAATCTCTAATCTCTATTCGTTAAGTGAGATCATGAGATCTGATACGGATAGAACTTATCATTACAACTAGCATATAAGATAAGGTGCCTAATGTACATATACACTCACTAGTCAAGTTTTGTACAGAAGATATGGGGGACAGCAATATTCGTTAAAATTCACCCTTTAAAATCTACAGAGAATATGCGTAGGTGTAGTCCTGAGATTTTGGAGGCATTAGACCAAATTTTCAGATGCAGAAGAATTGAAAATCCAGCTCGATTTCTGCAATTTATTGAACGCGGAGAAAAAGAATCTAACACGAAGTCCTGCAGTGAATGGGCAGCCCAACTTACCCTCAATTTTTTTCAATTGTTTCCTTAGAGAGACCAGGGGATCTCCATACTTTGGTTTTAATCTGACCTAAACAAGTAGAAATTAAGATCAACATGATACCGGGTACTTTTCCATTTGGTTAGAAATGGTACGAGCTTAGAACAAATTCTATTCGTGCGAAATCTATAAGCGTACGAGATTATTGATGAGTAATAAAATTAGTGACTTGAGAATATTGTCCCATAGAGAATAAATTCAATTCAAACTTACTAGTTTTTTTTTATAGAATTCAAATTGCGTAAAACAAAACAGAGTTTGATTTTGTGATTATTCTAAATTAATCCAAGAAAGCTATAAGATTAGGGTTTTATCAAATTATGCATAATTGTATTGAATTTTGAATTTCGAATCCGCATATTGATATCTATTTCAATTATTCATTATGAAATTTAATCATATTCATGCATTCTGACAATCGATAAAGCTATCATATATAATTTTCTTTTCTAATACAAATTAAATTTATCCAATCATGACCCGAATCTATTTTTAGCCAAAATTCAAATGATTGTTATGCATTTAAGTTTAGATCATCTATATGATTACACACGTAATAAATGTTATTCATAACATCTATTGCACATGTATTAATTTTGTTGCCCTCTAAACTTATTGCGAGTCTCACAACACTACAACAAGCAACTAATTATCTAATTAGTGGCCAAACAATTAAAATAATGCAATGAGTATGCAAAATTAATCAAGAAACGCAAGAAATGTTAAACTACTAGTCTTGAATTATAAATAAATAACAATGAGTTCATTTTCATCCAATACAAAAACGAATCGAGTCTAGCATACTTTTAAGTAAATTACAAGGAGAATAGTAGAAAATATAACCCGAATCATGATAGAATGCAAAAGATGTTTATTTTCAAGTCCAATGTTGAATTTTTCAAAATCTTGATATAATTGGCTTCAATTCCTTATTAGGGCTTGATTTCATCTATCAAAATATAGTTATTGACACCTTATTATTGATGAATTTGATGATATTATTGTGAATGAAAAGGCAAGAGAGTGTTTTCAACATGTAGCTCCTGTTCTCAATTTATAAGGGTTGAATTTAGGTCAAGAATCTCAAAGTTGTTACCAATAACAGTTTGAATCAGAAAAGGAAACTGGCTTGTCAGCAGAAAATTTGGCCATGGACCGCGCAGGTGTAGCTACTGTTTGGTGTTGTTCCTGAGTAGCTTTTGATATTTTGGTTATAACTTTTTCTCTCCATATCCGATTGAGGTGATTCAAAGTTCATTGCAAAGATAACTAAAAGGGTTACAATTCCTTCAGAATACAATTTTTCTATTTCAAACGTTTTCTATTCGAAAAATGGGTCTCAAGTTGAGGCTAAAAATTTAGCGCATAACTTCTTCGCTGAAAATTGATTTATGAAAATACTTCAAATATATTTCACTCATTGACCTCCAACTGCATTCAGTTGATCATATGTGATCTTCAATTGTCACTTTATGGTTCGAATCAATTATTGGACGTTTACATTTTGGTCATCGAACTTTTGATTTATTTTGTTTTTGTCCATTTTTCTTCATTTCTTCCAATTCTACCAATTTGCATTGAGTTTAACCTAACAAACACAATCAACACATAATTAAGCTAAGCAAATGCTCTAATTTAATGGTCTAGATAAATGTACAAAATACACTTATCAAACACCCACAAATTTGAATATTTGTTTGTCTCCAAACAAAACTATAATCTAACTTAGACAAATTTTAAAACACACAAGATTAGATAATTTGCCTTTGGTCTAAGGATTTGAATATATGTATTAAAACTATGAACTGTTGCAAAAGCACAATGTCAAAATTAATTTCTACTTATTCAATGCAAAATCGATGTGTGTGAAAATTCATATCAAGTATCATAAATTCATAAAGTGATTCAAATACTGACCCTCAATAGTCAAATTTATCATTTCTCATCTCGTGAGATTCACACCCCCAAACTTATTTATTTAACTTTCTCTCGAAGTGTGATTTTAAGGATGAATTTATATACTGATACCATCTCAATTTTGGTTATATCTTACTAATTGTAGTTTAATACATCAACAAATTTGATTCTCCTTCTTTTTGAATATTTTAACATTGAAGAATCAACTAAGTTAATAATTCATTGTCAAATATTTAAATTATCTCAAATAAGTGTTTGTGGCTTAGTTAAGGCATGTGATAAATTTTCTTTCTTTCTTTTCCCTTTTTATTTCTCCTCTCCTGAGATTTACACCCCCAATTAACTTTCTCTCGAGGTGTGATTTAAGGATGAATTTAGACACTAATTTGCACGATCTCTATTTTGGTTATATCTTTCTAATTGTAGTTTAACACATTAACAAATAAGGATTCTCTTTATTTTTGAATGTTTTAACCTTCAAAAACAACTAAATTAAATATTTTTTCTTTTTTGTTTTCATGCAATGATTAATGCAATATCTCTTATTAAATACTTATTCTAAAAAATCAACTTTTAAATTAAGATTTTTACCTTAATTTCATCTTATTAGCATTAGACAATTCACACAAAATTTAGCTCACATGGAATTCACATTCATCTCAATGTCTCCCTACAACAATTCAATCACCCCTAAACTAGAAAATTGGTTTAATGATATATAATTTAGTAGTTATTTGGATTTAGCATCTAATGTCAACTAACTTTTTTTCCAACATATTCAAATTTGAATCAAATTATTTCTTCATGATGCAAAACATAAATTTTGTGTAAAAAATTATCTAGTTTCACGTGAATATGCATAAATCAACTCTAATATGTAACCTTTCCACAATTTATAATTTAACGGATAGTTCCAAATATCTGCATCATAATAGGCAAATTTATCTAACCTACACAAGTACGTAAACAAAATAAGAAAATAATTCCTTTTCGAATTTTTTCAAATTTCTCAACATTTTTGTATTTTCCCATGATAAAGCACACACAATAATACAGACACAAAAGCAAAAACTCGATATTTTTCACCTCCAAACTTAAAATAGACATATAAAGGAAAGGGGAAGGGGGAAGAAAATAAAGAAAATGCTCCCCAAATTTATTATGAGGTGGCGAGTGCTATGTCATGAAGTGCAAGAGTCGGTAGGTCCTCTTCATCATGTTGTTTCCTTGATCAATGTTGGTTTGAGTGTTCCGTGATTTCGTGTTACTGAAAAATCAAATATTAATCTAGAACAAGTATTACTTAGCCTACAGTCTCATAAACCAACAATAAATTCACGAGCCTAAAGGGAAACGAGGCATGGATGATGATACCTATAAAAACAAAATTAAACTCATATTCTAAATCTAAAAAAAAAATTAAATAAAAGGGAAAGAAAATTTGATTGTCTTCCAATAAGAGTTTATTTATAGTCTTTAACTTGATTTTGGCGATCTGCATCTGGAATGTTGAAGATAGTTTTTGATGCCTTGCTCAGTTTACTTCTTTTGATTTTGCTTCACTCTTCGCCGATTCTTCAAATTTTGATATTGCCTCCTCCAGGGTGACATAACTTGCTATTCCATCCGACTTGAACTCAACTATGTAGGCTTCTTTCTTTTCTTCAGGCTTAATCACAAATTCAATTATTGGGCAATCGATGAAGTCGAAAGAATATGTATTAATTTCTTCGTCATTGATTATCACTTCTTCGCTTGGTCCATTTGTAATTAATATTTCGTTCTCTTAATACTCTTGTTCAATAATTGATATATTCTCGAGTTGAATGATTGACTCACAATCTAAATCCATTCCACATGCAATGAAATTTTTTTTCTATCAACATTTTCAAGTGGATTATATCACTACCTTTTAAATTCATCCAAAAATATGGAATCTATAGGACGTATTTTACTTTTACCTAACATGACAAGTTCATCATAATAGTTTGCAAGTGTCTCCTCATTCAACAGGGGAGGACAACTCCCTTAAGAATGATGTCATAGTCTAGGTGTATAGTTACATATTCGCCTTCAGTCATATAGCTTTCATCAGATTTGTCAATTGCTTATTTTCGACATCTCAAATATTGTTTAAACCGTGAAAATTTGGACATAAAGGGATTAGTGCATATATACAAGCATTGCCCAGTATAATGCATCACATTACAAAGCTTAACTCACAATTTATGTCTTCTACAAGCATATCCTCATCATCCATGTTTAGGTTACTTGTTGCAAAAAAAATCACTCATTTGCCATCATCAGAGTCCTGCATATGTTATTGAATAGTATATGAATGAATACCAACCACAAGAGAGATTAGGGTCGGTAGTCAAATTTAACAATAAAATAAAATAAAATAAATCGAAATCCTATATAAACTAATAAACTCAAATTAAATATTTTATTCCCCGACAGTGACATCAAAAATTTGTTCGTGCGAAACTCACAAGCTTACGAAATTGTTGACGAGTAATAGAATTAGTGAATTAAGAATATCGTCACACATGGAGTAAATTCAATTCAAATTTACTAGTTTTTTATAGAATTCGAATTGCGTAAAACAAAAGAGAGTTTGATTTTATGACCATTCTAAATTAATCTAATAAAGCTGTAAAATTAGGATTTTTATCAAATTATGGATGATTATATTGGATTTCAGATCCGCCTATTGTTATATATTTCAATTATTGATTATGTAGTTTAATCATATTTATGATTTCTAACAATCGATAAAGTTATGATATATAATTTTCTTTTCCAAGACAAATTAAATTTATCCTAATCATGACTCGAATATATTTCTAGCCTGATATCGAATGATTATAATGTATTAAAGTTTAGATTATTTATAGGATTGCACACATGATAAATGTTATTCATAACATCTATTGCACATATATTAATTTTATCGCTTTCTAAACTTATTGCAAGACTTCTAACACTACAACAAGCAGCTAATGGTAAAATACTTAAATAATGCAATGAGAATACAAAATCAATCAAGAAATGCAAGAAATGATAAACTACTAGTTTTGAATTAGAAATAAATAACAATAAGGTTCATCTTCATCCAATACAAAAACGGATCTAGCCTAGTATGTTTTTAAGTAAATTACAAGAATAATAATAGAAAAATATAACCCGGATTATGATAGAATGCAAAAGATGTTTATCCTCAAGTCCAAGGTTGAATTCTTCAAAATCTTGGTGCAATTGGCTTCAGTTCCTTGCTAGGGCTTGATTTACTCTCGCAAAATATAGTAATTGACCCCTTATTCATGATAAATTTGATGATATTATTGTGTATGAAGAGATAATAGAGGTTTTGCAATGTGTAACCCTTATTCTCTATTTATAAGGGTTGAATTTAGGTTAAGAAATCGTCCCAAAGTTGTTGTCAATATGAGTTTGAATCAAAAAGGAAAATTGGCTTGTCGTAAAAATTTTGGCCCGGGGCACGTGCCAGGTATAGCTACCAAGCGATTGTCCCTGAGTAGCTTTCTATACTTTGGTCATAATTTTTTCTCTCGATATCCAATTTAGGCAATTTAAAATGCGTTGCAAATATAGCTCAAAGGGCTACAATTCTTTAAAAAATTAAAATTTTTCCAATTCGAACGTTTGCTATCCGAAAAATAAGTCTCGAGTTGAAGCTAAAAATTCGGAGTATAACTTTTTCGGATGAGAATTGATTTGTGAAAATACAAATACTTCAACTATATTTTACTCATTTGACCTCCAAGTGCATCCAATTGATCATATATGATATTCAATCATCATTTTATAGTCCAAATTAACTATTGAATATTTACACTTTGATCTCCGAACTTTGGATTTCTGTTGTTTTTGTCCGTTTTTCTTTATTTTTTCCAATTCGACTAATTTGCATTGAGTTCAATCCAACAAACATAATTAAGCTATAACTCATCTAAATTACTAACAAATCCTATTTCGGGATTTTCCCTCAAGAACGCGTTAACTTCAGTACTATAGCACTTTTCACAGTATGAGCAAGTGCCAATTGCCAAACTCAGAAACAGCCAAGATTTATGCATTCAGACATTAAACCCATCAGAGATCTGCATGCTAACTTGATAAAATAGCGAAGAAACTTTACTATCACAAATATAAAAAATTCCAAAATCCTGAGACAAATATAAAGAGCGCAAGTAAAGAAAAGGGAATCCAATTCAGTAATCTGTTTTTCATTCTCACTTGTGCTACTGACACCATAAACATTATTTATTCACTCTCGTAATCTTCATCGTCTCCAAAACCAAAAACAGAAGCATCTGCAGCAATAGCCTTGATAACGTTGGAATCCAGGTTCGGAATAGAAGTTCTCTCAATCCCATCAATTTTAACTTGATTGGAAGCATTAGAGTGTGAATTTGTGGGTTCTTTGTTTCCCAGAGAGAGCTGTTCGGTCTGATTTGTCATGGCTGACATTCTCTCGATAGAGTTACCAGAGTCATTATATGTTGCAGTTTTTGCAGCGGAGGACGTGTGACCTATGGTGGTTCTTGAAGAACTACTTTCCTCGCCTTCACTGTCAGAAAATACATCATCTTGATTGTTTTGTTTCCCGGAGGCATTACTCTGTTCAGAATTAGCATTGTTTTCGTTACTCGAGGAAGGAGCATTTCTCGATCTTCCATCGGCACTCTTGGTGTTCTGATCAGGTTTGACCTGTGATGGGATGGTACCGTCATAATCAATCATCACGATTTCAACCTGAAACCCCGGGGATGGCAACTTTCTCTGCAAAGTACATTTGTTAAGCCATTAACTGAGCAGAGCAAAACAAAGAAGGAATTGAAAATGAAATCTTAAAAATCTCGAAAAAGAAAAACTGTTACATTAATAGGGACTGGATTTGTATATTTTGAATTGACACAGAAAGTTCTCAGAAGCAACATTCATTCGGCCAAGGCGCTTAATTTACCTTATCAAAGCCATCTAGATCGGCACCTTCTAAAATGATTCTGTTTTCCATCATTGTCGTGTTTAACCAGCTGAGAAGGGAAATAATGCGAGTTTTTGTTAGAAGTTAAATCAATACAGTTACTAATAGAGAAGAAAGATAAGTTTCCAAACAAGACGTGGAAGTGTGGAACAGTCAGTGGGCCAAAACAGTCTGGCTTCTTGTAAGATAATGAAGGGTGATGGTGATTAAAGACTAGATGCATTTCTTTGCCACTATTTGATCTATCTATCGCTATATCTACATTCTACGGGAATATCTAATGTGATCAAATCATTTACAAACACGCCAGGCCACCTGCGATCACCGATCATATCACTTGTTTCAACAGATATTCAGTGTGTTGAGATATATAAAACCGTAATAAGATCAAGAATAACCATTCACGGACCAGTAAAAATCTCCTTGGCCATCGTGAAAATGGATTTTGAAGTCCCCCATCAATTCTGTTAGACCAGGTTCCCCCGGTAGAGCAAAAACCACAATTCCCTTCTTCGGTGCACGAATCCAAAAATCTTCTGGCTGCAAAAATGAACTATTATTAGATTAGCTCACCTGCCACAGTCCCCAAAATAAGAAAAGCAAAAAAAAAGGAATCTTTTCCCATCCAAAAGGGAGAATATAGAAAAGAGATTATAATATGTCAGAGACACTCTCAGCAAGGGAAGTTACCATGAGATCCTTTGTTTTTGGATGCTTTTTTGTTGAAAACAGAACTCCTGTACAATAACAAATAAACACAATAGGTTTTACTGTGTAAAGCTATTCGTGAACTGTAGATTCATATATCATGTAGGACTAAACAACAAGAGAGTTTTGAACATGCATAAAAGCAGAAAATCTATATGTTTCTGTGTTTGTGTCCTCCTCAAAATTCAGTACAAGAAAGCATAGCAAGTTCATGTCAGCCGCCTTTTTCTTCTTTGATGGATCTGTCCCTCCTCTTTTTTTCTGGTTGTCATTCTGTAAAGGAGTGTACCTAAAACTAAAAAATAAATTACTTGGGCAGCTGCAATTTTCTTAAATCTTAATCATAACCTGACCTCTCTCAGAATGTAGAGATTTCTATCATTACAATTCCATAATGAGAACATAGAATACTAGATTTTGACATTCTTAATCACGTAGCCTTTCAAAATGAATTTAACATTTACATTTGTAAGCATTGAGTTATTTTGTTGTCGTGCAAGAACTTGAGTAGGCAATACAATAAAAATCTGCAATAAGAACAAAGTAGAATGTTTTATACATCTTAAATAAAGATGAACCTATGATGCTAGGGTACGGGTATGTATTTAAGTGTTGAATTTTTTATTTGCTAAAATATAGGATACGGGAATATGGCTAAAAAAAGTCTAAATTTTGGACACGGATACGTGGGTATGTCTTTCAAGCTTCAATTTTTTTACTAATCCAAAATGCCATTTTGAATAGACCAAAATCAATTATTCATAAAGAAATAAATGAGTATTGAATAAGGGGTTAAGATGAATAAAACATAATTTTGTGGTTTAGTTTTCGATTATGGGAATTACTAAATGCTATATAAAATAGAAAATGAGGGACTTGATTGCAATTTGGACTTAGTGGAGTACTAAGTAGCACTATATGTAACTCATTTTCATTTTATACAAACAAAACCCTAAACCACCGATACAAAGAGAGAGAAGGAAAAAAAGAAGAAAAAGAAGGGAAAACTTAGTGCCGCCGTCTTTCTCCACCCTCTCGACAACGACGCTAGGTTTATATAGAACAAAAATGGGAAAGAAGAAAAGGGAAAGAAAAAGAAAAGAAAAAAGAAAGAAAGAAGAAGCAAAAACGATGAAGTGTCCAGTTGAAATTTGGAAGATCCGACACATATCTCATACCCATACCCATCGTGGCAGACACGGGTACTCCGACTATTTCGAAGAGCCCGAGCATCGGATAGATGAACTATGAAAGCATTCCCATATAAATGATGCCAACAGAAGATCAACCTACAGAAAACAAGACCTTCAATGTCATGAAACGAGGATAAAGAGATGCTCGTAGCCTACCATTATGATTCGATATAGTGAGGGAAGGCCTAACCCAATACGGACACTTGTGAAGTCGAAATCCTCTTAGCATGCACCTGCCACAATGCAGTTTTTAGTATCTTTCCATAGATAGCATGATGCATTTGGGAAATGAATAATCAGAAGAGTACCTACGTCCTGGAGGCGTTTCACCATTGAAGTGAGTCAAGATTTGGTCAAAATATTTTACATACCTCTGACAAAAGCACAAAAACAGATTAGTAGCTCAACTTATAATGCAGGCCTTATACATAATCAATTTTCTACGAAATATTTGACTAACAATCTGGCTTGGGAGAATAAGCCCCTTTCCATCTACACATCTTTTCTGGTTATAATAGTCAATGCACTCCCCAGCTGTGGGGAAAAACTGCAGTAAGGCAAAATAACAGCGGTTGATGAACCATATCATAGCAGCAAATTTTCTCCCATGGATGATTCCCATAATTTTGATGTTGCTGGAAATCAAATCTCACCTTTAAGAATAGAAGAAGACTACATATCATCAATCCCGTCCTTGCCTTGCCAGCTTTACAGTGAACAACTACCACATTTACAATGTCCTCCTTCAACCATGAGTAGGCACTTTGACAAAACAATTTTATAAGATGAATAGGAGGGCAGTTGTGGTCATCAAATGGGAAAGATGCAACCTGCATAAAAGAAAAGAAAACTAGATACTGTATGGTCCAATATAAAGTAAAAGCACAAAGTTAACATAGAGTCATAGACTCTATTGTCAGTGGCAAAGGCAAAGCAGCAAGGGGCCATCATGGCCGTGTAACAAAAAATGGAAAATGAAGAAGATGAACTACAGAAGTCACGTTGAATGAAATCTCTCTGACTTTAGAAAAAGAAATTCGGAAAAAAATTATATGTATCAAACTGTACCAAGTACAGTGGAGGATGTTACCTGATGTCTGTCAACTAGTGCAAAAAAGTGAACCTATCCCTATCGTTTTTAAATATCATACTAGAGATGGTATTGATTTGAAGATTTATCCAGTGCTGCCTATAGCTCAAGCTCTAGTGAACTTGTGAAATTGCAAACGATCACTCAGAACTTAATAATAGTGTAGAACAAACAACCAAAAAACGCACCTTTCCCTCAAACAGTGAGGCGTCATATAGCCTCTCTGAACAAAGGTTGTACACTTTGTATTTTCCCTGCATGAAACAATTCAGATAGACAACATAACCGACAATGAGAAGACGTCCACAATATAGGCCATAAAGTAATATTAGAACCAAAACCATGTAGCATCCCACATCCCGCATAGGTGGAAGCATGGATGTGTGACCAGCTTATACAGGCCTATGATGCTCGGACTCTTTAGTTTGGACAATGTAGCCGTGTCAACACGCATGATATGGGTATGGGTATGGATATGGATATCAATCCTGTTCGGATAATTCAATTTAGAAATCTACATGGCAGGAATGTGGAAGAAGATCGTCGTGGGAGCAGGGGTGTAGGGAGAGGGGGGGCAAGGTTTCCCCCAGGCCCATTTAAATAGAAGTTACAGGGAGATAAAGAGTTCACCCACAATTTTTAAAGCAATAAAATCGATTTTGAGGCATAAAACCAAGATTTTGAAAGCATGGAACCACTACAAAAAATATATATAATTATAAGTATATTATATTCTAAAAATTTATGTTTGTAAGACTTACCAATGTCTAAAATTTGAATCCTTTTTAACCTATCTCCATATCCTAAGTTTTAAAAGAATAACGATTCGACTCCTAGATATGTATCGGCACCCAACACCCGTTCTCAAGTCCAAGCATTATAGATATAGGCTATATCGGACATCAATTAACTTGGGCTTGCCAATATGGGTCATGTTGATATAGACCTAAGTAGCTGATTGGTTATGTTCCTAGCCTTCCCCGTTGGTCAAGACTTACCCATGTCCAAAATTTGGATCATTTTTAGCCATATCTCCATATCCTAAGTTTTAGAAGAATAAGGATTCGACTCTTAGATATGTATCCGTACCCGACACCCATTCCCAAGTCCAAGCATCATAGATATAGGCTATATGGGACACCAATTAACTTGGGCTTGCCATTATGGGTCATGTTGATATAGACCTAAGTAGTTAATTGATTGGTCATGTTCCTAGCCTTCCCTGTTGGCCTGGTCCGGAAAGAGATGAGTAGCCAACTTTTGGATGCTTATGTGTATTAAATGAAATTAGATGTGTACTGTAATGCGGATATCCAATGTCCAACACAGGATGATAGTAAAATCACATCTCCTACATCAATGGGAGTGTGGAAATATCACCAGCTATAGGTCCAATGAACTTGGGCTTGCCATTCTCAGCCTTGCTACTTTGATTTAGGCTCCAGTAGTTAATTGATGGATTATGTGATGAATCACATTCATGGTCTTCCCCGTAGGCCAAAGACGTGACTAATACACTGCAGAAGCCGTATGATGGCAAGCATGTACAAGTTACAGTACCCAAGTGACCCCCCTAACTTAAAAACTCAGCTTACTTCAACCACACGATATCCCAAGTAAAACAATAATTTCTGTATACTATAGATAGCAAATCTTTCACCAAAAGATTTGTTATTATCTATCCTAAACAGAAATCAAGAACAAGGATCCTCCAAAGCCTCAGTCAGCTTCAACAATTTCTGACACGATGCATAAATATATCCCCTCATGTTGCAAAATCATTTTTCTACAGCTGCCAATTTTTTATGTCCAAAGAGGTTCTGAAAGGAATTATTAATAGCAATACTATCATAGCATGGCCTCATTTTAGGAATAACTAAATTGTACCTGGAACAATGATCTCATCATAATGTTAACAAATAGTCGATTATATCCAAACATTCCAAATCTATTTCTTTAGTTGCAAACCTACAAATATGCGGGTGGTGCTTGATACCTTATGATGAGTCTCAAAAAAATTGATCACTTCCTCCATGTGATTCCTATATAACCCCTGCATCAGGTTTCTAAGATACTGTTAGGAAACCGACAAGATTAAATTGAAAAACATGAACATTTATGTGAATTACATGATAATTACCTCAAAATATCCAAATAAACCAGAACTCAGGTCACCAGCAGGGAATCCCATAGCAATGATATTCTCAGTTATATATGTCATATCCAAGTCAAATCCTCCCTCCTGAAGACAGAGGCAACACATTATTATGTATGACTGTATCACAGTGAAAGAAGTAAACCCAGAAAGATGGTGAGATTCTCAATATAATGCGTGAAATTAAATATCAATTGTAGACGCGAGCTAATGGAGGATAGTATTATGAGGTGGAAGATGAGAAATAGAAGTAATCTGCATTATGAATGCTATATTTCCATTTTTTTTTCACCAAAAGTAAAAATAGTATCAAGACATGCTTTTTTGTCCATGCTAATCAGAACGAAATCATGACTGGTTCATGTAGATATAATCTTATTTTTCTCTCTCCACAAGCAAAAGGGTTTAAAATTAATGAATCATGAAGCAAGAAGGAATTGTGGTACGTGTGCAAACCGAGTGTGTTTATAACATGTATGATTGTGGCTCTTACATCAGTAAAATCTGACAGGGTAAATTATATCAGTAGTTTGGCAACCACGTGTCGATAACATTAGAATGGCGACCCAAGAACCAATTGACTCTAAGATTTGGAAATGTGGCCGCTGGCTGCAATTTTCTCAATTTTGATAAATCATAAAAGTTACAACATAAAAATTCATGACCATTGTTGACTAGATCCAGCTTTCCATTTAAGGAAAATATACCTAAGGACATATAAAAGCACAATTGACTTGTGATCAAGTGTCAATCCAATGCTCAATTTAATAAAAAAATTCTATTTCAGAGGAATTATACTGAAACTTATATAGAAGAACAACTGACTAATGAGCATGTGTAAAGCAATACCCCATCATGACATAGTTGTCATTAATGAATTTCATATTCGCAACACAAGAAGTTAAGGTGAAGAGACACCGTCCTGTCGTTTTTTTGGCCAAATAACATGCTATGAAATCAAAGAATTTCCATATTTACTTCCTCCATTCCTAGTTATCTAAATCACTGAGAAAGGTAAAAGGGAAAATGCAAAAGAATAGAAATAAATAAACTAAACGAAAAAAATGGAATGGGAATCACAAAGACTTCAGTCTTAATTAACTTAAATGCATAAAATGCCCATTCTACATGATACCTCATGCTTGGTGCATTGAAAGAAAAGTCATCTAACAAGCTAATAGCTATCAAGATTATTAGTCCATTTATTTCATTTGCACTTCAATGTCTGGTTGCTTGTGAGGCAATGCGGTTATGTAAATTATAGGCTAGAAATACTTGATGCAAATTGAGCTGAAGCAGAGATATAGCCACATGAAGGGACAGGTGCATTAAAATTATGGACCAATGCCGATGTCCTAAAATGAACGTACTTGAAATAGAGAGAATCTCTCTACATAAAGCATTTCCTCATAAAGGGATGGGGTAATGCTATAGCTTAGACAGAGTAACAGTTCAACTACCTGGTATCTTCTCTTATTTTGTGAGACAATATGCCTTGCCTTTACTTGCACAGCCTTCATGGCATTTAAAGATGTATCAACTAAACCTTTGGTGAAGGTTCCAAGAACGCCTGATTGTGCAGTTGCAGATTTCTTTTCAGCACTGGCATTCACATTTGAAGGCAGTTGAAATCCAAGCCCACTGGTTAGTCGCGAAAAGGTTATCCTCCCAGAATTTCCAGTGTGTGAATCCTGTTGCATTTCTGGAAGTTTAAAGCTTTTGGCCGAAGAAGACATGGGTGATGTAGGCAACATAGAAGCCGAATCCTGTGCCATACTTTCTTTCTCATAGATAGCAGAAGGCGGAGCTGCAACATCAGAAACTTTACCAGAAGGTGATGGTTCTGATAATGGAGATGCATGAGCCATTTCGGAATCCATTCTGATAACAGAGCAAGAAAAAGTAAACCAAAATCCAGTTGAGATTAACCACCAATGGGAAAGTCACATGGATGAAACATTTTCCAGTACATTTCTAGCAATTAATTTGCAGAAGTTTGTTATCAATACCAAACATCAGCAATAAATTTAGAATTCAACCACATGTGAATATATAATTGAAGAATATCTACGTCCGTCCTTACATTTCAATAATGAGCTTTGAACCCTCTTATATTTTGTTGGTACTATCAGTTGAGAACATGATTCAAAGTGATCATCTATTGTTGAGGACATACGTGCAATGTCAATATTTTCAGAATCGCCTACATATAATAATACTTTCGCGACTAGCCTTGCTCAGCAAAAGCGTGCATTTTGCTTCCCAGCTACAATCTTTATGACCAAATCATCACAGAGCACACTTTTTTTACAAAAAAAGTCCTTTCCTTCTCTCCTTATTCTGTAGAAAATACTATGCAGACTCCGAACACTTAAAATATTTCTTACTATGCAGGCTTAATTTTAAGACGTGCATTCTAGGAAAAGTTACTTTCATTTAATTACTCGTGTGAATTTCCAAAGAGCTCCTACATTTTACAGAGATAATTGACAAATGTATATCCTGCAAAGCGCATATTAAAGTGTTAACAAGATGCAAATGATATCAAGCCGCATTCTAATTCGACAAATGAGGGAAGAAATCTAACCCCAAATGCCTATAGAGGTTAGATCTATTTGAAAATTGGTGATAATGTGAGCAATTAAAGGCATGAATCAGAGATTAACAGATCCTAACCTCGATCGAAGAATGCGAACTTCCGGTTTATTTCTCTGAAGCTTTTTAGGGTTCTATTTTTAACTGAGAGACTGATTCAATTGATTTCTCTGTAGTTTATTTGCAGCGATGGAGTAAGATCGGAAATCTGTGTGATGTTTATTTACTGCGGCTGATTTCACGAATCACGATGCTTTGTAGGTCCCGCTACAATTTTATCGGTCAACGATGACTTATTTGGTGATGACGTGTCGGTTCGGTAAAACATTGCAGTTAAGGTCTCTAACCTTTGGTTCCTGCGAAGTTGGAGTCACAAACCTTTTATTTGTGATACTCTAGGTTCCTAACCTATTAAAAGTGATTTAGTCTCATCCTTAGCTGACGAAAACCTGTCAATTTGACAATTTAGAAGTCGATTTTTAAAAACCACAATTTTACCATTGTTTATAATTAAACTAAGAAAAACTAAAACTAAAAAATATAAAAATCAAACAAACCCAAATAGCGAATCCCCCACATAATACCTAGTTGCACCACCTTGAACAATTGAATTTCTAAAATAAATTCATTACTCCCAACCACTCGATCTTCTTTGGTATTCTTTGAGAGCAGTTATACCCTTTGGTGGATACCTTCTTACACTAGAATAACGAGGAAACAGAGAACGGCTATGCATTGGAGATTAATAATGTAGCTTTTATATCTCGTGTTGCTCTTTATACTGCTCGTAATAAGATTGAGATTAATTTTGTGGTTACTAATCATGTAGATGTAAATAATGAGGTGCATGAGCATTTTAGATAATAAATCAAGACAAAAATGCTTGGGCAGTGGGAGAAAGGAAAAAAAAATCATTGCTCAATTGTTATAAAAAACGGAAGGAAGAAATGCAAATTCATATCGAGAAAGCAACAACTTAATGTTGTGAGATATCACAAATAATCGATTTAACAGTTGAGGAAGCCCATAGAGAGCCATGAGTATCATTAGGCATTGAATCACTTGTAGATGTTTCTTTACGAGAACTCCTCGAGTTTTGTTTTGTTATGGAGAACAAAATTTAAGTTCAGAGTTATTGGAATTTCAAAATAGCTTTCATGAGAACACTTGGGGAAGGAATGGTAATTTATTTTTGATATAACCCTTATTTGGTATATATTAAAATCAGATTTTTAGTAGATTTTGATAAAAGTTGATGAAATGCGTGATTGAAAAGTTGTGGATCCCATAAAATGTGCAATTAAAATTAATTCTTAACTTTGACTTAAAATTTTAATTGGATTTTAATCCAAACCAAACATGGGCATAGTAAAATGAGTGGATATTAAAGGTTATTTTATGCATCACATTGGTGCTCACACATCCGCATATGATTTTCTCGACAATGGCAAGTCATTAGTTTTTACCGAAATGTAGTACAAGGACAAATACGACGGATTGAAAATTATTCGACAAATCTGTCATGGCATCAACCGACCTATTCTAGTTTTAGGATGTCTCTATTGGAAAATTTATAAACGACTTATAAAGAGGAATATTATTGACTACAATATATATGAATAATAGTGAGAGTAGCTATAAACGTATTATTGAAATTAATGTATGTATGACTTTGACTAAATTGTATCTAAACAAAGGCAAAAATGGTTAGTAAAAATAGCGGGGATCATTGTTCTCTATATCAAGTTATGGAGTAACGTTATTATCATGTTAAGATGACAATAAATGATAGATTCAATGTCAGGATCACATATCCTTTACTCCTTACATTTAATTAAGCCTAACATTTAATGATACTATATTATTAGGGGTAAAAGCAAAAATTATCAAGCTGCACCAAAATCCTCTCTACATTCACATGGACCAATTAATGTTTCGATTTTAATTCGAATCACGACGTTTGGAAAATGTTTAGTATATGTTCTATCATTACCGTTAAAATCGAATCGGTATTTTAAGATTTAAAATAAATTAAACATAAAAATGTTTTAATCAAATGACTAATTATAAATACAACACATAACCAAGAATATTCCCTAGTTATAAATTATCACCATTTATGTTCGTGTAACTATTCTTCAAAAATAGTTATAAATTAGTGAATAAGAAAACTATACATTAATTTCGATAAATGAGAATCCTACCAGAGTCGACACAAAATCAAAGAAATGTAAAACCCGTAACTACAATACATCTCGAAGGAACCATATACCATCACGATGGGACGAGTTGATCGTTTATCTAACTCTAGGGATTAATTCGAGTTTACCAAAAATATAAGGACTAAAAATGAAAATTACTCCTTCTGGGTTCCCCTTTTGTGCAAGTTTGCAGCAACGAGACTCCACACTGCACACAAACTTCACCAATTATCATGGATCCCTTACCAGGCGGTTCCGCCACACCTGCCGACGATCTTAACTCAGCCACTCCCGCCGCCGCTGTGTCGCGATGGGCCTTCACATTTTCGCAGCAGTACCAGCACCTCCTGGACAAGTCAACTCCGTACGTGCTCTACCGGTGGATTGCATTCCTCTTCATCGCATTCGTGTACGTGTTGCGGGTGTACTTGATCCAAGGATTTTACGTGGTGACCTATGCCCTCGGCATCTACATTCTCAACCTCCTCATCGGGTTTCTTTCACCGCAGGTCGACCCGGAGTTCTCAGACGGCCTGACCCTCCCCACTCGAGGCTCCGACGAGTTTCGACCTTTCGTTCGCCGCCTTCCAGAGTTCAAATTTTGGTGCCTTTTTTGTTACCATGTCGTGTTTTGACCAGTTCTGGTTTTTTATTTTTCTTGAATTTTTAGTAATTTTCTTTCGAGCATCTTAAGTTTGAGAAATTTAGTGCAGAGGTTGATTAGAAAGTTAATATTGGAATTGAAATTAAGTATTAAAAAAGTTAATATTGGAATTGAAACTAAATATTTTAAATCAAGTAACTTAAATGGATTTTAATCACAAGGTTGATTTCTCTTTTAATTTCCGACCGAGTAGATTGTATAGTCAGTGCTTCTAGCTTTGAAGGTCCTCCTCCCTCCTCACCCCCCTCCAATTTTATCCCCTTCCTGTGATGCATATAAAGCACTACTAGTATTTCTGTTATCATCAGTTGCTCTCGAATTTGTTAGAAACTATAACTGATATCTTGATAAGCATGGAGTATTCTTTATGTTGCAGTTTGTATTTTCTTGGAAATTCTGGTGTTTTTGTGAATTCTCGTTTTCACTATATCCTCTCTGTGCATTAATAAGTCCAGTCCCCATATTGATCTTGCTACCTCAATAGTGGTAATCGCTATAGCCATGGTGCTTCTAAGGCTGCTTTTCTACCGTGTTCTATTAGGTATTTTGCATAGAACATCTGATGCTCTGTCCAGAATAATATTTTTGTGGTTTATGGTTAGTGGCTATGCTAATCAGCCATAGTCTGCTAGTTGGAAAAAGGCTTAGGGAGCAAATGGGTCTCTCTTTGTGCTTGTGGTATAGATTTTTGTTTCAAAATGGCAATGTGGATATCGTATTGTTATCTGCTTGTAAGGTTGTGGTGTGGAGATACGAAAGTGAAGGTCTTTCTTTAGGACTGGAGTGGAAGTTGGATTAACTTGCTCATTTTTTATTTCATTATTTTTCACAAGAGTAGTGACTTTTCTTAAGCTCCTTGTTTATTATTTCTGCATGAATCCTGTTGATTATAACAAATCAAAATTAAAAACTTTACACTGATGTCATAAACTGTACAAGGCATTAAAGGCCAAATTTCTTGGTCTCTGGCTATTTATGCTTATTGAATTTTCATGGTTTCCTTCTCTCAAGGTACTCAATCACCAAAGCCTTCAGTATTGCTTTTGTGTTGACATTCTTCAGCATTTTTGATGTGCCTGTTTTTTGGCCAATTCTCGTTTTCTACTGGATCGTTCTTTGCATGCTTACACTGAGGAGACAGATTCTACACATGATAAAATACAAATATGTTCCATTTTCTGTTGGAAAGCAGGTATGGCGATGCCATCACATGTTCTAATATTTTAGCCTCGGTATTTTGTGGATCACTTCAATTTAGCTATCAGTAGGTGCTGAGTCCTTAACTTTGAGCTTTATTTTTCTTTTCAGAGGTACGACAGAAAGAGTGCACCAACAGCTGATAATGAAAGGCTTCCCTCTTAGATCAATTTTAAAAGTAATCAGAGTAATTTTTTTCATTTAAAGCACATGCAATTGTTGCAGAACTATCATTTGATCCCACCTCTAAACATTTTTCTTCTCAATTTCTAGGCTAGCTTTTGCTGGGCACCATCTTCAGTTATCGTAAGTCGAAAGAGACAGCAATCGTACTGACTTTTTTTTTCCGTTGAATATATAATATCATCCTTATAGAAGCCAGAAGTTGCACACTGGTCACTACTGAGAAATTTTCTTTGGAAACTTTACTCATGGGAATTGCCTATGGCCCTATAGCTTAGGGTTTTTTTTTTCTTCTTTCTAATTTATTATCTGAAAATTTGAATCATATCGGTCCAGTTCTTTATGACATTGGCTTTTAGAAATTTCCCTTAAAATATTAACTGATATTGGATCGTTTATGATTTATCAGACTGAATCTTTCGGTCACATAATAGTTAATTGTTTAAAGTAATTGAGTTGGATTCAGGCCACTACAAATTAAAAGCATAGAATGTACTCGCTTACAAGAGACTCAAATCAAAACTTGATGCCTGTCCAAGTTGACTAAAGCACTGTGGACAAAAAAACCTCAACCAGACAAATTCAACAGTGTGTCAGTCTGTTATGCATTATGTGAAAACCCCAAAAGTAATGTGAGCAATGCTACTAGTACATCGGGAGCATTCGTAATAATAAAAGTGGTGCAATTGAAGCGCTCCTTTTTTTTTTTGAGCAATGCTACTAGTACAGCGGGGTGTACATCATGGTGTACACCCTCCTCACATGGGTAAGGGGTCCACTCGAATATTTTATTCAAGTGGATCCCTCCATGTGAGGGGATGTAGACCTTGATGTACACTTTTTGATGTACAAGTAGCATTTTTCAAGTAATGTACTCAAGAACTTGGTCTGTAATATCCATAAACCCCGTAAAATGTTTGCGCAAAGGTCAGCAGCAGCAAAAAGACAGCAGCTATGAACGAAATAATCGTCCATGGACTGTTGAAATATCTGTGTTTCAAACTTGCCCTCCAAGCATTCCATCTATGATCATAGTATTTGTTAACTTGTTCTGACAGCCTCGAAAGATAACTATCATTCATGTCGAAAACAACTTCTTGACAAAGGCGATTGAACAATTCCGCAACTTCTGCATCACTCCCAAGCCAATGTTCAATTATTCCACAGTAGTGTAAATAACTCACATCCTCGGCCGAATCAATCAAGTTATCCATAAAAATTACGTATGATGTTATGTCATTCGTGCAATCCAAATGGCATTGCTCAAATGCTATCAGATTAAGGAAGAGTGATTTAGTACCATCGTGGATTAAGAGACGAGGAATCTTGAGGATTCCATTCTTGAACTTAATGTCCCAGAATCGATCCGTTTTCCCTTTCTTGAATTTGATCCCTGCATCTTTTAGCTCAGTGACACAATGAATCAATTGCTGTTTTCGTTTATCTGCTACTCGATTAGTGTGTGACCATCTTTTGATCCATATTCTAGGAGTTGGTTTTGGCCCTGTGCGCATCACCAGAAGACTCCGCCTGAAAACTTCCAGGCAATGTAGCCCACCTTGGTCAGTTAATGGATCAAAGGTGCTCGAGTTTCCAATAGACGACTCCAATTTGTTTCTGTCACTCTTTGTCAATGGCTCATCTGTTGGCATTAACGGATCGAAAAACCTCAATGCTAACTTAGCTACCATCCCTCGCTGATCTGGATTTCCAATCTGAAGGCCTAATAATCGATCAAGTATGAACAGAGGGATCTGATTTTCAAGCATGATCATATCACGTAGAATTGAATGCATCGAACCGCGCATAGCAAATATTGGATCATTTCTAGAGTAACCAAGGTGTGTAAATCCCCCAGCAACGCCACGGAAGAGCTCAAGAATGAAGCAGCCATCAAGCACCATTATTTCGACAAACTCGTTGCTACCAAGTTTTATAGATCCTTCATAACAAGCACGTGCCTTTTCCTCGAGTTCTTTTACTGCATCAAGATACAGTTGCATGTCTTGATTGGTACGCTTGAGAATGTGGTAAAGGGCACGCCATTTATGGCGGTCCATGTTGCGTAGACGCCTCCTGCCATGGTGATAAGGGCCCAAAGAGACAATCTGTGGAATGTAGGCCTTGTCATCGCCTTCCCGGAGGCACTGAGGAACCTATTCAAGACTAAATTATAAGAAATACACACGTTGTATGTTGTATCTCTAATAACTTAAAACTTTTAGACGAGGTAATTCAACATTACCCTATAGATGCAGAGTTTTGCCCACGAGCCAGCTGCGTCCTCTTGGCGAGCTTGATTGAGTTTTTCTTTGATGCTGATCACCCACTCGGATTTGGGTGAAGTGGGGCCCTTATCATCTTCATCATCCTGGACTTCATCCTTGGCCTCGATTTGCAATGAATTCCATACTTCATTTTCTTGTTTCTGCAGGTGTTCTTGGTGGGATTGTGCAGGGAACTCAGATGATCTGGTGGTGGTGGGACTTTGAGCATTCTGAAGGCCAGATTCAACTGTTTCTTTGAGCTTGAGGGTGATTAGGTACCAACTCAAAAGCTCTTTGTTGAATACAGCAACCATTTGATTTAACAAATCCAAATGCTGTTTGGATTTTGGCTATCTGAACAGATATGTTCTCTATAAGCAAAAAGTTAATTTGAAAAATTCAAACTTCAATTGCATTCATAATTACAATTGGAGTAATGATAATAATTATATGAGTTGAACTTGACCTAATCCAACAGGCCAGCCTGGTGGACCGCTCTTAATTAAAGAATAAGAAATTCTTCGCGTTTCTTCAACATCGTTTTGGTACCTGATGCCGATCTGACGTGAAACTCAGAATTGATAGTCAATTTACCTTCAAATGATCTGAATCTGAATACTGGAACTATGGCGTTTTTGTATTTTAATCAACGGCTCAACTCATGCATAATTTTCATAAATGTACTCTTTTAACATGTCAAGATTCCGTATTCGGAAGGCATCACTGTTTTAGATGCTTTTGCTTACAAATCTTGAAAACTTGGACAAATCTGTCAATATTATAGTTACAGTATGCTATTTTGCATCTGTTTGATCCCCATGTGAAAAATATTAGAAAAATTGCATATCAAGAAATAAAAATAGTGGGGTGGGGGCCATTTGCCAGCTGAAAACAGGAAATCATTGGCCCATCTCAAGTGTGTACACATTTTTTATCCAGTCATGGAAGTTTCATCCCTCGTGCTTGAGTCCCAACTCCCCCCCCACCAGCTCCAGCAAAAAAGAAAATGAATTCTCCTGTCATATTCAAACTTCAAACATCTTTATAAAATAATTAAATAAATTGTCAACTTAATCTTACTGTAAGCAATTTAATATGTAAGTCTTAGTCTAAGAAATATATCATATTTAGCCTCTGCATCAAGGCCAGACCATAAATCCAGATTTTAGCCTATTTTACTCGAAGAGTCAAAAGTTAGGTTATTAGAGTACAGTATGTTCTAAAGATGAACAAAATGGAAATTTGGATGTTATGATGCTCCTGCGGCCTTCGTAGAATGAATATGTAAGAAATCAAAAAAGGGGAAAAGAAAAAAGGACGAAGCTGATCGGAAGTTAAATAAGGAATGTACGAGAGTTGATTAAGCATGTTTTATGTAGATATAAAGAATTCTAATAAATACTGAAATTCCAACCAGTCTGTTAAGATTTTGAATTCCATTTTAAAAGATCAACCTTGTTAAGAGGAATAGTTCAGACCCTTATAAATGGTTTATGTTTTCAGCCACAATTGATGCGAGATTTAATCCTTTAACATGCCCCGATAAGATGGTGACTCGTTTGAGCATGCCAATCTTGAAATGCGTATGCTCATTTTTAGAGTTTTAATCCTATCGAATTGCTCGATGGAACGTAATGGGCTCTGATACCATGTAAAGACTTGAAATTCTATTTTAAAATGTCAACCTTGTTAAGAGGAGAAGTTCAAACCTTTATAATTGATATATATTTTCAGTTTTAATCAATATGAGATTTTATCCCTGAATACAATCAAATTGTAAGCAGAAACTAATTTAAATAGAATCCACCTACTAAAATTCATTACCGCTTAACAACAACTTAAGTTTATCTAACAATGAAAGACGACTACAAACTATGCCTCATTCCCGATAAGTTTTGGGTCGGTATTAGAGTTCTTCCTTGGCCGTGAGAAGACCATTAAACGCTTGCATGAACCAGATTAGACTTGGTCTTCGTTGGATATGAAGGTTTGATTGCAATACCACACTTTCCAGAACGAATACCCAATGCGTTACGCTGGATTCTGATATATCCATTTTCACCGCAGTTTGTTTCCCATGAGTTCCTTACAATCCAATAATAGAGCCCATTTTCCGTGCCATAGCCGACAACTACGACACCATGGTCCAAATCTGTCCCGCATCGAGCCGTAAATACACCCTGAGAAGAGCATGTTTAATGCATAATATTTGACAGTACGACACAATACATCAAGTCTAGCTGATATTCTCCAAACTGCCTCACTCTTAGTCTCAATTCCACTAGAACAAGAAAATAAATAGTGATACGTGATACTGCTGTACAATGCAGATCGTGCACACACACGAACAGAGAGAAAAGGTTAATTACCGATGAGTAAAGCTGGAAAGCTCATCTGGAGGCTTCAATAGCGACACTCACGGATTGATGTGCCGTGGCCTTTTGCAATGCTATTTCATCCCGGGTGGTACATCTTCTTCGTAGCCATCAATGCTAACAACCTTAGCATTTTTCTGTATCACAGACATAAACAAGAAATCACAACCGGGCTGTCTTTATACTTTATAGGGTCATATGATATGATAATTAGCTCGAAAAACTCGAAAAACACGAGCCCGGGCAGGATCACATCTGCCATCAATCCCCCTGTGGGGGTAATCATCTTCAGTGTCCATGCGGCCATGCCACCATTGGCTATAATGAATTGGAAGGCATAGTCCATTAGGCCTCCATTGCACCCAGAATTTTCAATTCTGTCACAGTCTACAAGTTCTTGTTCTGATAGAGGGATAAGTTCCCCTATAACTATCTGGTTTATGCTTTCCAGTCCACGGCAGCAACAGTCGAGAAAGCCCAGCAACTTCCTGATTCACAAACAACATTAATTTATTGTCTTGTAAATCAATTTTAGGGCTAACTTTTTTCTCTTAATCTTTTTGCTTTTTGGTTCTTAATAAAGTAAGATTCCAAACATGTAACTATTTTGAATTTTGAAGCAGAACATCAAAAAACAGACTTGAAAAATGCAGTGAAAAAAGAAGAAGAGAACCTTACCATAGCTTCCTTGATTTTTAACCGGAGCAACGGCACCTTTCTTTTCTCCAATCAAAAAATTCCGGCAAATTTTCTCCAACCCAAATAGCATAACGCTGGCTAGCTATTTTTGATTTCACGAACCGGAGTTTAGCCTCAGTCCTCGTACCCAAGAACATAGACCTGTACTCTTCATTAGTCAGATCAGCAAACTGGTTCAATCCCGCCTTGTACGTTCGATTCTCAGAGTTATGTTCATCAATAAACTTCAAATTATCCTTAAAAATCTGAAATCATCTGTCCTCATCTTCCAAACCATTGTATACTTAGCCATGCCTTGCTAGCTACCATTCGTACAAGCCCTTCAATTCTTGGACACTTTTCCTGTTTTCCATGATGTTTTTTCGACGTGTTTATTGTCATAATCTATGATTGACATGTCTATTGCATGTGACAAAGATGCGAATAATAGGAAAAGAAAGGTGATCATGGGCATGGCTTAGAAATGGAGATAAGATTTCTACAGGAATCGAAGCCCACTAGGAAGAAATGTTAGATTGCTTAGGCTTGAAGAAGTTGGAGGGGCTTTTGGGTTTATATAGGCTATAAAAATGTTAAAATATTCATAGGCATTAACCATAGAGGGGGAAAATTTTGTAACACCAATTGCCAAGTTGTCAAGTTTACGAGGGCAATATTCCACATTACGTACTAGGTGACCCTTGGGCTATGTCAACCGTGACAATCATATTTGTAAAGACATGCAAGTTGAATAATGCTCATTGGACATGGGCAATGACGGGATGGGGGGAGACATGATGGTGTGACAGACAGTGATTGAATGTTGTATTTTTTCGAACTGTCCAGTTATGTATCAACACGTATCCTCTCTATTATTGAGTCGGTCATTAAGTCTATCACTATAGCATAACCCATGCAAGTTTGTTACTAGACTAGTTTGTGCAATTAAAGTGAGCAAATGGTTCTACGACACAATAATAATCACATGGAATTTATTTAGAATTTATCTTCAACCTGTCATTTCATACCGGATGAAATCATATTTTTGAATAAAACTTGACGCGCACATGATTTGTTAATAGCCTCTATCTAAAAATTCAAATTTTCAGAGAAGGATTACGTGTATTCATTCAATTTTTATTTTTAATAAGCAAATTGAGTGGTGCATGACATCATCAACCCTAGCTTGATATGGATTCAAGGTTTTAGAATAAATTTTTTTGTTCAAATCGATAAATATATGTGTCCAATCGAACCACGATACTGCCCTAATGTGCTATTTCCTACATTAATAAAAGAGTGAAGGAGTATTTACTATTCATAAGCACTATTCATCAGTGTTTTAAAATGCGTAATGCGTTACGATGCGTCGAGTTCGAGAATCAAGAATCACAAGTTTAGGCGTGTCAATGTGAAGAACAAGCGTCATAATACGTCTCGTATTTTTAAGGCATTAAATATATTTTTATATAAAAAAATAGATTTTTTACCAAAAAAAAAATAAAAATAAAAATTGGGGAGCATAAGGCGCGCATTATGCGCCGCCATTTAGATGAAAACTCATTTTCCCGCGCGTCGCCGAATTCGACGCGCGTTGCGCCTAGGCGACGCATTTTCACGAGTTTTAGAACACTGCTATTCATAAGTCGTCGGCTCGGCTCGGCCTTTTTTTTTTTGCATTTCCAAACCTAGTCAATAGACTTTTAGTCACGGCTCGGCTAAGCCGTTGAACCAGTTTTTTTTTCTTTTTTTACGTTTGCTTTAATATTTTAGGTTCTAAATATGCGTTCTAAGCGATTTAATTTTGTTTTGAAATGTTAAAGTGCGGCCATCCTAAATATATGGTCGACTCGGCCTATCTTTTTTTTAATTACGTTTGATTTTGATTCCAAATGACTTTATAGGTCGACTCGCACAAGGCTTTTTTTTCTGATTTGTTATATAGGGCGGATCGCCTA